TACCCCCATGAATTCTACTAAATGGCAGCAACTTTTAACAGAAATTATCCATTCTCTCAGTTTTATGTAATAGAAAGTCCACAGATTCCAGAAAGAATGAAGTTCCATGTCTTTCTCCTTCAAAAACTCAGCAATCACACGCTGAAAATATTGAAAATAATGTGTGATACTGCTCTTAAATTTCAGAAATGACTTTGGCTACAATTAAGATATCTTTAGTATCAAAATATGATGATAGATATGTAGATACATGGTAAGCATTAACAGGAATACAGTTTACTGTTACTTACTCTTATTACCCTTCATAAACCCTTGCAATTGAATCATCCCTCCACACTTACTTCTGTGCTTGAGGAAAATGCTGTCCTTAGATTTTCCTTACATCGACCTAGACGCAGGTTTTCACTTTCTTGTTTCTGTGCTCTATGCAATTTAATATCTACTTGTTTATACTGCTCTGCTTCAGTATCTTCATCATCCGTGATAGAGCTTAGTCTTTGATTTTCAAGCTTTATACTTCCCCTTGTTGACGAAGAACTACTAATACTTTTGAGGACATTGCTGAAACTTAACTTCTGAAGATCACCACCAATTTTTGAGAGGGGCTGAGGTATCCCTTTTTTCAAGACTGTCATTTCAGAGTCTGCAGAAGAGGAGGCTGTATTTCTGTGAAATATCTTCTGCATTATGCTTTTCTTCTTGCAGCTTTCTTGTTTATCTTGCAAATTATTTACATTTTGAATAATAGGTTGTTTTGGTGCTGACTCGTAAGATACTTCATTATTCATTCGCTTTGGAGACATGGCTGTTATATTCTCTTGCACATCTATAAAAGACACAGGATTGTCAACAGATCCCTCCATCTTTTCATCGATTTTTTTACATATTTCCTGATAATCAGTGGAGACACTTCCAGCTCCACACTGTGCATCCCCTTCATTCTTAACACTACTAAGATACCCCAATTTCTGATTAATTTCTTCTTTAGGTTCTATTTTACCTATCTGCTCCTCTTCCATTACGTCATTAGATTGAGTTTCTTCATCTTCCAGATCTCCTTCCTCCTTTTCATCTTGAGTAAGATCTTCCTCTTCTTCTTCTTCACATTCCTCATCGTCATCTCCATCATCATTTTCATCTTCCTCCTCTTCCTCCAATTCATCTTCCTCAAGGCTGCTTGAATCTGAGACATCTTCATTCAACAACTTTCCACATTTTCCTCTGTTCAGGTTTGCATCTGTTGGTTTTTTTTGTGTAAGGCTTTTCTTCTGTGACTTAGGACTTTTAATTCTAGAACCATCACCACCACCTTAAAGCATGAGAAAAGGAAAAAGGAATATGAATCAAATGGGTTATATAAATAGCAACAGGCATTTTATCCATTTAAAACAAAGGAGAGGAGTCATCTGGGACTGTATGGAAAAGCCAGGTAATGACAGGATAGGGGAAGGACAGATAAGACACAAAGGCTTAGGAGGGGACTCAGTATCTTCATTTTTATCATCTGACTTATTTTACTCTGAAATGACCACGTGCTCTGTTCTTGTAACACTATTTTCCTCAATTACTGTAGCCAAGTGAAAAACAAACACAAACAAACAAAACCCAGATGAGATTACTTAGCAAGCTTACTTTTCTATGTCATTGTATCATGAAGTCTTTTCCAAATAACTTACCTACATTGCTGAACTTCTGGGAAATATTCAATAACATTGTCAAGTTTGGCTTCTGTGGCTTCTGTAAATAAAAATACATTTAAAAAGAATTATTTGATCTATTTTTGTTTGTTTGTTTTTAAACACATCCCTTACTTACATCAAATCTTGAACACTAAATACAACCAGGCTGTCCCCTTTTAAGAGGACTTAGGTGCTTGCTAGATCCTTCAATTTTAATTACACAAACATTCCTCTTGCGTACAAGTCAGTGTCTATTCACAACTATCTGTAGATGCATAACAATTATAAAAAAAAAAAAAAGTTTTTTAATCCATAGGTAAAATACAACTACACTTGGGATTGTAGAGTCTGGCTGCCTACTTGTAAGTGTCCACAACTCAAATATCTATTAAAGTTCCTAAATTAGTTAATACAACTCCACCTAGTGTAAGATCTGCAAACATCAAAATAAGGCTAGAAATATGCATTAATTCCCCTTAAATCAGTGCAAGAAAATGGAACAATGTTTCAAGTACACATCTTTGCAACTCCAACATTACAGAGCATGCTGAGCTACCAAACCAAAATTCCTAACCACTGCAGAATCCCAGTGCAACATACTAAATACTCCAGACATCACTAAAAAAATTGGCAATCCTTCAGAACATTCATAAAAACAGTAGGATAAGCACATGGAACTTATAAAGAGTAAAATCCAACTATTCAAAAAATGAAGAAAATCATGCAGTGTGAGATTATATACAAGCATGGAATGCCATCTCACAGAAGAAGGAAAAAAGAAAAAATACTTATTTGAACAACTCAAGCAACCTAGTGAGGAAGGAAAGCAAACCAGGCAACGAACAATTTCACTAGATTTTGATAAATAAATGTTCTTTCTCATTATCAGTTAGAATTCTATCATATAAATTAGGGGAAACAATAGCAAAGTTAGAAAGAAAACAGAATAGGTTATTTACTAACTCATCAACTCCTAGGATTTGCAAATCTCACTGAATGAACAACTAATACAACGTGGTATTTCATCTTAATATCTACTGCTCCTTTGCCCCAAACCACAAATCTACTGCATGCTCTGCCAAAGCTGCAAGTTTTTAGGAAAAACTCATAGCAGAAGAAATGTTGGCAAATGACTCCTTTTAGGACAATAAAGAATGAATTGGCTGGAAAAGCAGCTTCTTTCTATCAGAGAAAATTACCTTCAAATCACTTATTTTACACAACCATTCTCTTATAAAGGCACCGTACCTTGGGTGTAAAATCCAGTTCTTCTTCCTCAGAAGTATGCCAAGTGTCATTACTGCCCTCTTTTTCAGAACTTCAAAAACAAAGCAAAGTAAATACTGGTTCTCTCAAATAATTCCTCAAGTAAGTGTTTGATATTTTTAAAAGCCTCACCTTATTGAGTCTCCATGGGAAAAGTCATCTATTGCTGTTCAAATATAAGTAATTTTAAGTAAGTATTTGTGCATCACAAGACATGTTTGGTATTTAAAATACTACTGTGCAGAATACCTTTCCTCGATTCTCCTGTTCTTGGTGTCTGCTTAGAAGACTGCTGCATTCCTACATCCATTAAGGGAAAGGCATGGAAAGGACAGATGAAAGAATGACATCAGAATACATGCAGAATCTCAGAAGTTTGGAAAACACAAAAAGCATACAGACAAAGCTACAGCACTGGGAGAATACACTGTGACTATGACATGCATTTGCGTGCACATATACATCTGTGTTTCAAATGAGAAGCTGTGGAACACTATCCCTACATCAAATTCTTTCACAACAAAGCTGTTACATTTCCCTGGAGCAGAAGGTTGTCCTAATTCTATTGATTTTATCACATATACACACAATGATGTGGAAAAACGGCTACTGCCAGAAACATAAGCTTAAGAAACAGTTAAACAGTTTCTCATTCCTTCTGGCTTTTCTCCATTTCCTTAAGAGGGAATATAGGAAAAATTTCATCTGACCTCAGGATATATAAATCACACAGGAGTGCTGATTCACTTCTGTAAGAGCTTTATAATGCTGAGACAATTTCTCTAGTGACTTGGGGAAACACTGAAGGAACAATGCTCTACTGTGTGCTGCAGTGATTAAAAATACTGTCACTGTAGACATACTAGAAATAAGAATTGCACAGCTATTATTTTTCTCAAAAATAAATTCCTACTTAAAATCTAAGAGGTCGGTCATTCAGTATGTTCTGGAAGCCAGTTTGTCTGCGATTAATACAAAGGTTCATGTTCTGACATCCAAATAATCATGAGCAAACTTGTTAAAAAATGCTGACCTGTTCAACATTCTTCACAATCTTCTCTTCTAATTAGAGTGTACAGAAGTAGCAGAAAGAATAAGGTCAAAATTTTAAATTGCAGAAAAATAACAGAGAAAAGCAAAAGAGAAGAAAAGGAAAAGGGAAAAGAATTCCAAAGTGGGTATTTCTCTGGTCTCTGTCTCAGCATCCTGGCTTCCCCTCTAAAGGCCACTTTGAAGACTGTTACTGTGGTGTATTAAAATGACTCTTGTGATGCAGGGTGTGAATGCAAGCCAGGGACTGCAGAGTTAACTGCAATACTGTTTCTACTACACTACTGAACTTTCTCTCTGTGCCCTCCCACTCCTCTGCTGGTGTCATCTTTAAGAGAATGAGCACAAGGGGAATCATAGAATGGTTTAGGTTGGAAAGGATCAATTAAGATCACCTAGTTCCAACCCCCTGCTATAAGCAGGGTCACCTCCCTCTAGACCAGGTTGCTCAAAGCCCCATCCAGACTGGCCTTGAATGCTTCCAGGGAGGGAGCATTCACAACCTTTCTGGGCAACCTGTGCCAGTATCTCACCACCCTCACAGTAAAAAATTTCTAGTCTAAATCTACCCTGTTCTCAGAAGAAGGATCCTTCAAGTCATGTATTTTAAAATAACCCAGGCCTGTCAGTCCTTACAATGGGGTACCAGAGCAACTGCCTACATGCACAGAAGGTAGCAACTGGGTGCAATTTGGGTGAAAACAGTATTTCAATGATTAAACCAACTGGATCAAGCCCCACTGAAAAACAAGAACACAGAACTTCAAAACCTCCTAGTATGTCTACAGTGACAGTATTTTTAGCCACTGCAGCACATACCAGTGTACAGTTCCTTCAGTGTTTCCCCAAAACCTACGAAGAAACTTTTCCAACCACTGTGTAGTTCAAAGCAACTGCTCTTAAGTCAAAGGCAATATCTAAGTATCTAAAATCTATTCTTCCACCTCTGATAAGTCCGGGAAGAAAAAAATATGCCATGTATTCTTTGTTCATATTTTTCAATGCTTTATAATAAAGAAGGAATGAATTGTGTTTGAACAGTCTGCTGCCCATCTGATACGTGATTCTGACACAATAAAATTCCTTAAAAATAAGGAATGAACAAAACCTCCTATGTTAGAGCCTGAAATGTAAATTGCAAATCAAACAATTTCATTCATATTAAGTAGCAATTTTCTAAGATTCCCTTAGGGCAATGTTAGCTTATAATCACTGCCTGGATTTTCCAAATTCATTCTTTCTTTTAATTACAAGGCAGTGAGAAAATGTAACAGTTTTCTGGATCACAAAGTCCTTTTCTTTTTCTTAAATAAAACTAACTGAAGTTGAAGAAATTTTTTTTTAGAAATCTAATCATGTTCAAGAAGATACACTATGCATAAACACTGCACTATTGATGCTAATGAAGTCACCTTTCCAAGATAATTTTTGTTAATGTCCCACAGCATAAACAAAAGCAATTGTAACTGAAAGTGAGAAATTATATGACTCTAAAAGGAGGTTAGTACAGATGAAACTAAACAAAATGACAGAAATCCAGTGGCAATCAACAAAACATGCATCTTCTTGCAATTAATCTGCTGCTTCACTGCTATAGAAGACAAAACTATTTGGGATGAAACTACAGCTTTTACAATTGGATTCTTCTGAATAACAATCTGAATGAGCATCTCTAAGTAAAATTGCACACCCAAAAAACAAGGCCAGTTTGTTCTAACCTAGTTTGTTCCTTGTCTTCCCCCCTCCCCCTTGCTAAAAGGCAAACTTAAATAAATGGGCAGCTTGGTGGGCTGAAGGTGACAAGTGTATGAGCAGATGGATGTAATGCACACAAGTCACAACTGCCCTCAAAGCCTGTTGAGATGCACTGCAAAGTAGCAGCAAGCAAGCACATTCATAACACTTCTTGTGACAGTCCACCTGGTGCTTCCACTGAAGTCCATACTGAGCACAGTAAACTTAAAAGATACAAACCAACTTAAGGAAGAAGCCAGCATAATTTCCCATTAGCTCTACCACAGTTAGGTATCCTACCTTCTCTGTCCACAGCAGGTGCACCCAATGTAAAGCCAGCAGCTCCTGCCTTGTGAGGAGTCACCGGTACTCGGGTGCCTCGGGAAGCACCTGCACAAGCTTTCCCTGTGTTCTCCCAGTCTGCATATTCTGCCAGTTGTTTACTAAGACTGTAGATAGAAAAAGAAGAAACACATTTGGGAAAATAATCCCTTAGCTGTATACAACACTTAATGGAATAAGAAGAGCCTCATCTTATCCATCCTAGACATATCCATAGCCAAAACAATTTGTATATTCACTAAGGGTAACATACTCTATTTATTGCATGACTGTAACATACTCAAATACTCCACACACATCTATTCTTCAGATGTACCTCCAGATCTATGAAGTTATTAAGTTAAGGGTACTGCCTGGTACCCTCTTGCAGTCCAGTTTTTACAAATACAAGCACTCTTATGAATGAACACCCACAGGTAAAATGCTTATACATAGCACTAGTAAAACTGCTTAGTAATTTAATAAAAGAGATAACAGCTAGATCTCCTCTGAAACAAAACGTAGGCGGCTCCTAGTCAGTGAAATTGAAGACAGTAATAACAATGGTTCTGTTTTGAGAGAGTTTACAAACATTTCAGTTTTTCAAGTTGAACCTCCGTGTCTGTGGGCTACATTTTAATAGCATATGCTAGGTATACTAGGCAGACATGAGCTTAGCAACAAACACTTAAAATCTTACAGAGAATTTTGAGTAGAAGCTTTCATCAACTTTCAAATTGACAGCAGACACACGGACAGTGTACATGAAGATGCCAATGAACACATCTTCAAGATAGGTCTCAACACACCATTAAATCTTAGTGCTGTTACCAAAAAGGTCAAAACTGAACACTGATAACTGAAAACCTGGCAATAAATTTAAAAGTTTACCTAGCATATCCATGAATAATAGCATAATCCTCAGCTGTCCATCCATTAGTGTCTTTATGGGAAAGATCAGCACCATAGTGAAGAAGGATTTTTACCAACTTAAGCTCCCCACCGGACGCAGCAGTCATAAGTGGGGTTCTGCAGCATCCAAAATAGAAGACAAAATATATAATTTTAGTCAGACATTGTAATTATTTTAATTCCCATTTGCTCACTCAAAGGAAAATAAAATCACTTTATAAACAGAAGAAGCAGCTTATACATTAACAACACTTGCATACAAACTACACGTCAATTTGAAAAACTCTCTATGGCATAGCAGTAAGGTTGCTGGCACAGTGGGAACTTTCCTGACACAGTGGCTACCATAAACAATGTTTTCTTGCAGTTCTCAATGCAGACAACATGCAATAATGAATTACATAAGCTAAGCTGAGACCTGCAAAAACTCTTCTCCGTGTCTTTCTACTGCAATGCTCATTCCCATCCCTCTCATCAGTCTAAACTGAAGGCAAGTAAGATAACCTGCAGAGTTTAGACCATCTCCTCACCTCTCACACAGATCTCGAGCATGAACATCAGCTCCTTTTTTAAGGAGGAGCTCTACCATCTCATCACGATGTTCAGAGATAGCGAGAGTAAGGGGAGTACATCCATCCTGAAAGGACAGAAATAATTAAAGTTAAAAATAAAACGAAACAAACAAAAAATCTTCAATAAAAATATCAATGCACCTTTTTGAAAGAACATTTTTTTCCCCACAACACATTTCAAAATGTACCTTATTCTGAGCATCAATACGGGCACTGTGCTCAATTAACATCCCTGCTAGAAACGTGTTAGGAGATACAGCAGCCAGGTGAAGGGCAGTGTTGCCACTAGCATCTGCCAGGTTCGGATCAGCACCATGCTCTAGCAGGATTACCGCACATTTTTCTTGCTGGCATTGCACTGCCTGGAAACAACACACACACAAAAAGGTAAAATTTCCAGCAGTCATACTTCACTGTGTCACAACTACTACAACTTCCCACTCTTGGAATATAAAAGCATCTTCCGAGATAAGCTAGCATACACCTAGCCCACATCAATTATAGCTTGCATGTTTCTACACAGACTTTTGTAAAGAATCTAGAAAGGCATCCATCATTTAGTACATAGTCAATAATTCCTACTTGCAGCAGCATAACATGTTCTACTTACCTTCATCAGTGGTGATCTGTTATCACTGTCAAAAAGATCTAGCTTACACTTGTTTTCTACTAGAAACGTAACGACATCCGCATGTCCATTTGCACAAGCAAGATGCAGTGGTGTCCTAAAAATTAAACGTGTAAATTGAAACTGACAGCTAAATAAATCATTTCACTCTGTGGTACATGGATACGCCAAACTTCATTTCTCCATCCCAATTACCTCCCAAAATAAACATAATAAAACGAACAAACAAACAAGCTTAATCCATTACCAGTAACAACAGCTGTATACCCAAACCCTGAGGCTGGATAGGAACAACCATCCACTGCATTTGCTTAATGAGACAACATTTCCTCCACGGTAAAATTGAACTTTCACAAAGATTTCTGTGTCAAGGCACTGCTTGCAGCCTCTGACAGAAATGTGCTCATGGTACAATGAGAGAGACTAAAGCTTGGGAATTTGAGGTCTATGGTGGCATGCATGTAAACCTCTAGGTTCTCCCAGGATCATTCACACACTACAATTGTACCACAGATGCAAGACATGAGTTCTTTAGAAAAAAAAAATCACGCGCTTAGTTTGGTTATTACTGCAACTAGTAGAGCACTTTTGCACCAAACATCTGGCAACATCTGGCAGAGCAGACAGCAGAACACTGCTGTCCCGGGTACAAGAAAGTAATACGTGACATTCCTCATGCTTCTAACTATGATATAAATAGGATATCACAGAGGAAGTCCTCTTCATGGAGGAATAGCTGTGTTTCCACTACACAAGACAGAAAGAAAGGGGCTTTTTCAAACTATGGCACTGCTAAGGGTCTGATGCCAATTAACCAGTGTGCTTGTATCCAAAGCCACAGTCACCCAAACAGTACCTGCAGGCATTTCTCTCCTAATCACAGGACAGAGCAGCACAGGCTTGGCTGTGTGCAGAAGGCACAGTTCCTGCTGCTCTGTGGGACACCTGCTCCAACAAAGCAGGGGTTGAGCTAGAAAGCATCAGGATCTTTCTCCCTCAAAGGTCACACAATAAAATCCTGCAATTCCTCAGGCATCTATAGGGAGTTTTTTTGTTATGTTCTCTTTTTTAAAGTGCATCACCATGGATAGATCCCTTCTCTGCATTTTGGAAACTTCAAGTAACCTTACAACAAAACACCTGTTGAGGTACCTCGTTGACAGACAGGAGCACAACAGCTCATGGGAATGGAAACGGAGAGCTGTGCAAATACAGTGACGTGATTCAGAAATACAGCCATTTCTCATAGAATCATTATGGTTGGAAAAGACCTCCAAGATATCCAGTCCAACTGTCCACCTATGACCAATGTTGCGTACTAATCCATGTCCCTTAGTACCACATCTACATGTTTCCTGAACACCTCCAGGGATGGTGACTCCACCACCACCCTGGACAGCCTGTTCCAATGCACAGCCACTCTTCTGGAGAAAATTTATCCTAATATTCAACCTGAACTTCCCCTGGTGCAACCTGAGGCCGCTCCCTCTTGTCTTAACAGATCCCACCACCGGTGGGCCAAGGAGCCTCCTCCAAAAGACCAGCTTCCTTCAAGGCAGAGAAGATGAGGATGTGTGAGAATCCTTTGCTTTTTTTTTTTTTTTTTTTTTTTTTTGGCTCAAAGCTTTTTCCTGAGGTACTTCTTGTGATAAGACTCTAACTGATTTATTGAGGAGGCAAGTAATGGGTGCTACTGTGTGACATCACTTTGTGTACACTAGAACACATTCCTCCAGAGCTGCTTGCTTCCACAAGGGAGTACACAGGAGTGTTTACTGGTGGAAGATCTGGCCTGTGACTAAATAGCTCCAGGTTGGTATAGGAAAATTGGGGAATGATGCCATCGTATCCTGTGAAAAACAGGACGCAGGTGGGCATCCCTGCTCCCTCTTATCTTCTGGCAAGGCCTGGAAGATGGGAACAAAGGATTTCTGCTGCAATCCCAGAGCCAGAAGCTGCCACTCCAAGGACAGATGGCTCAACCACTTTGGATTTGTACCACTTTGGACTTATTTATAAGTTGGTACTGCCACTGAAAAGTCATCGTCAACAGAACAACAATGCCCAACAACCCACTACTACTGAAGATCAGTGACTGAACTACGAACCACAGTGGATCCATGGTCTCGCTCTTGCTTTCTATAAAGACTCTTGCTTCTTTCCTATCTTTTCTATTGCCCTTCTTCCCTTCCCCATTACCCTAATTCATTACAGTGTCCGTCCTCCCCCTCACCATCTCCCTGATTAAGGTTTGTAATAAACTGGTTGGACCAACATTTGAACCATAGTTTCTTAATCTCACACCAGGCATGCACGTAGCAAAGAACCTCCTCTCCCTTCTATAAATTGGAGCAAGACAAGATGAAATAACAGGCAGAACTTCAAGGAACTCATCATGCCTTGCCACAGATATGGAACAAATTACAGCAGCAACAGAGCAGTCATTCGAGGGTGACTGTCCCCACTGAGAAATTCCCCAGTGAATGTGCAAGATCATTTCTGAAGAGAAGCCTGTTGATGATTATTTGAGAGCTGAGCAGCACGTAGTGTTAGCAGTGTACTGCAAAGAGTTCGGATGGGTAACACAACCACAACCAACACAACTATGCAGGAGTCCCTCACCATCCCAAAACTGTTCATACCGAGCACCAGGAAATTCGACAACCTGAAGGAACCACCATCAGCTTCGCAAGCAGGAAAGCCTTCAGGAAACCCGCAGCCTTGTCGCTGCCCCGGCCCTCCAGCCCCCCAAGAGAGCTCTCAGTTAGGAGGAAGTCCCGCCAGCCCCACGAAGAATCCCCGAGGGAAACAGGCCGGCAGGGCACATCGCAGCGGCCGTTGCTGTCCGTGCCAGCCAAGCGCGGTCCCCGCTAACGGCAGATCTACGTGCCCCGGTGAGGCAGCGGGGATCCCCGGCCCGGCCCGCAGCCCTTACCGCTGCGCCTTGTCGCGCTCGTCGATGCCGTGCTTCTTCAGCCTCTGCCGCACCTGGGCCAGGTCTCCGGTAGCGGCCGCACGGTGCAGCTTGCCCAGCTCCTTATGGCGGAGTTCGTATGCACCGGCGGGGCACGGCGAGGCGGCGCCGCCGGGCGGCGGCGGATTTTCCTTCTTCTTCTTCTTCCTGAAGCTAAATATCTTCTTCATGTCGTCTCAGGAGAGCCCCGCGCACTACATGCAAGGCCACTCACAGACGGGAAGGCAACCCCAGACCCCTTGCCAGAGCCGGGAGCCCCACGCATGCGCAGCAGGAGGCGGAGCCACAGCGATGCTAGGAGGGTGTCCGCCGCGGAGCTCAGGAGAGTGTGCGCATGCGCAGACTCTGTCGCGTCAGGACGCGCCTAGCAACGTTGTGTTGCGGTGCTGTTGCCTGGCGCTGCTGAAATAACAGCAGGGATAACGGTCCGTATGTCTGCAGGGTTAATTCTTGGCTTCCCTGTGGGTTTTATTTAATAGAGATGTCAAAGCACGAGTTTTTCCTATGTTTAGGAACTGCTGCTTGCATCTCAGTTCTGAAAAATGAAGAGATGGCTTGATCTTTCTTCTAAAGAGCTAAAAAAATACTTAAGAAAAAGAAAAAAACTTTTTGTTGAAACCACTGCCAAACAAATCCAGTTTGCAAAACCTAACTTCTGTGATTTTGAGAGAGAGCTATTTTGAGAGCATCTCCTTAATCATTTAATGGAGAAATGATGAAAGAAAACAAGATGTGTTTTTAGCTGGGTGTATTTACTTTCTTCCAGGTGCGTTAGAAGAATTGCAGGATTTTATTTAAAAGGTGACAACACAGAATGCCACCTTACTGCTCTTTCCAGGAGCAAGTAGTTATCATAGGCTCTTTTTAACCTTGTTGGCAAGCTGTGCTGAGATTTACTTACAGGGCTTGTGGATATAAACTTAAGGGTACAATAGAAACTATTCATTCTTTTGTTTGCTGAAAAGATTGCAGAATTAATTACTAGAACCTGTTACTATACCAGTCGTTAGCTTTCTGTTTTCAATTTTTTCCATCTTTTTTCCCTTCTTTGTTCATTCTTTATTTAATCTTTGATATGGATGATTTTGAATATACCCCCTTTCAAAGAATACTTTTAATTAATTCCTGTTAAAAACAAATAATTCCTTTTTTTCAGAAGTTTGTGTTTCCTGTTGTGGTTCCTCATCCTCTCAGTGTGTTCTCCTTAGGTAATCTGGAGCTTTCTCTGAGTATCATCAAATAATTGCTATTTCAATTCCTGTCTGCATGAGGTGATTCTTTCCTGTTCTGTTACACAGTACAAGATCCATGTAGCACAGAAAGATTTTCAAGTAAGGGCTTACGTGTGGCTTAAGTGTTGCATAAGCATTGGCAGTTGGGTTAGTCTGCTAAAGACTCACCTTTCCTTTGACATAACTTAATACAGCTGGATAATTTAGCTCACAGTCCTTACAGCTCTGAGGTACAAAATGGCAGTCTAAAACTCTCTTTTTCCCAGTCTTTATTTTCCCCCTATTAAATCACTGTGTGTTTACCAAGGAGTAACAATAGCTGTAAAGTCTTGTTGGACTGATAACAGTGTGCTGGTCTGGTCATAGAATCATAGAATGGCCTGGGCTGAAAGGGACTACAATGATCATCTAGTTTCAACCCCCCTGCTATGTGCAGGGTCACCAACCACTAGACCAGCCTGCCCAGAGCCACATCCAGCCTGGCCTTGGAAGTCTCCAGGGATGGGGCATCCACAACCTCATAGGACAACCTGTTCCAGTGTATCTCCATCCTCTGAGTGAAAAAAATTCCTCTTACTATCTAACCTAAAACACCTGTCTCGGTTTAAAACCATTTTCCTTTGTCCTATCACTATCCACAGGTGATTTACAACACCTGCTTTCCAACTGTTGAGTTTACAAGCCAGGAAATCTGGCTGGGCAGGTAGCATGTTTCTGCATTGCTTGCTCCAGGGCTTTGAAGAGAACTGGATAGTTGCATGCATCTTGCAGTTAGAGACTATAGCAGCTCCAGCTCTGTCTAGGTGGAGAGCTGGAGCTGCGGTGGTGCTTTTGGTATTCTACTGTCCCAAGCAGCTAAAGTGTATGCTTAAATACAGTTTTGCTTGTTCTCAGTCTGGTCTGAAACACTCACGCTATCTCATGCAAACAGTTTGTTAATCCTCAGCTGGATTAACAACTAGTTCTCTTTTGAGAATGCAGAAAGGATTTCTTTAGGCTTCCTCTAAGTGAGAAGCAAGAGATGTTATTTTCAAAGCAGTGAAAGAGTTGTTGTGTAACGCAGTACCCTCGTATATTCAGAACCACATAGATTGATCAGGTCATGCTGCAGTTTCAAATAGACTTATGTGTTGTTGTAGATCTAGGTATATTGTAATTGGACTTTTTTTTTTTTTTTTTTTTTTTTTTTGGTTTAGATACATTCTAGTTGATAACAAAATTAAATAAAACTTTCGAATATTTACAAATTATAAACCGTGACAAAGTGATGAATGTCTGCTTAAAAAAAACACTAGTGTAATATGCTGAGAATTTATTTCAGTTCCCAAAGGCATAGATCAGGTATGCCCCACCTGCAGCCCAGCACAGCCCCTCAGCACCAACTGAGCATTGGTGGGATGTTTGCCCCACCTGGGCTGAAAGGAGGGCATGGGGCACAGTGCAGCAATAACTCAGGTGATGGTAAATAACGTTGGTAATGATGAATAATGAAGTAATGGTAAATAACATATCAAAATGTATTTTGATACATTGGCTAGACACAGCCATGTGAACAGTGAAAAAGATGCAGCTGTGCCATTTTGACAATGAAAATTAATAATAGGTTTCAAGATTGAAAAAAAAATCAATTTTTTGCTTTCTTTATGATTCCATTTTCATTTGACATAAATAAATTACTTGCAAATTTTTAAATGGAATGTATAGACTTGCAACTAAAAGTTTGATCGTGTCTCTCTACCAGCCTTTTATAAGCCTCATTTTACCAGAGAGAAATATCTTCTGCCTTACTTGTGTCACCGCTTTTGCAGTATATATGTTTGTAAACAACTGTTTTCAAAGCTGAAGCACAGGAAAAGTAAAATTTCATCAAAATTCTGATGAACACCTTGAGTGCTCACTAAGAATAGCAACCACTGCCATCGAACCAGCCGGATGCAGTTATTTCACAGAAACAAGGTCACATATCCCACTGGTTTTGTGATTTTGTTGCTCTCTTTTTTATATGTTTTAATAATAAACATTAAAAATTAAGTTTTGTTATTTTATATGTGCAGTTTTTGTTCCTGAAGTTCACACATCCCTGCTACTCTTGCCAATATCAGTACAGCACAGCGCTTGCAGTCACTTCCCTACCTTCCTAGACCTAAACCAACAATCATTTGCTTCACATAGGCTCAGATGGAAGCACTGCTTTATAACAATTCTAGCCACTGTGTCAAGGACAATGAGGCGCTTCAAGTCAGTGCTGTACAGAGTTCTACAAACTTGACAAATACCTCTAATGCAGGAGGAATGTCAACAGTGCAGCCTGAGGTCTTCAATACCACTACTGACCTAAACCCGAAATTTTTTACACCAGTATGTTAGTGTAAACCCTTATCTTCTCTAGTATTATGTACAGCTTGCCATAGCATCATGGGAAAATTCTCAAAACCACAAAGGTGGGGAAATGACTGGCAGGATTTTCAGAGCAGCCTATGGTCAGCCTAGCTTGGGAACCCAGCTCTCGTAGGCTCTCCAGGAAAATGTCATCCTGCATTTTCCCCACAGAATTACTTAACAAGGCTCTTAAGTAAGGAGCTTGCAAAACTCACATAGGTTTTTAACTAGCTTACTGAGACAAAGGCTTGAAGGTTGCTCTGAGTGGCTTCATTCATTTTGGTTTTTTTGCTGAACTGTGGCTTCCAATCTGTCACTTCCAAGCTTGAGCCTGGAAGAGAAATACAGGGCTTGTTGTGGACATTCACAAGAGCACAAATTCTGAAAGAACAGTGTGAAAGAATGCAACCTAAAACAAAAGCTTTTTTCAAAATCCCATATTAACTTCCTGTGTTGTAATGAATCAACCTCTCTCTCCACACAGTCCTAGGAAGCAAAGCCTTGCTCTGCTGTCTAGCTTTCCTACCTACCTTTGCATGTGTTCTTCAAGCTGTTTTAGAGCTGCAGTTTCAGAAGATGCTACCAGAAGGAAAAAGTTCTCTTTCTGGGAAGAAGTTTTAGCTCTAGCCAGATATGCTTTTCTTCCAATTCTTCCAGCTGCAAAACCACAAGAATCTGTAGTGGTTAGCTTAGTCTTCATGGAGGGAAACTTTCCTCCAACAACTTCCACTTTCAAAAACTCACGCTACTTCATTACATTTTGTTCTATTAGAATTCATAAGCAGCTTTTTGAAAGGAACACGCACACAATTCTCCCAGTATGGAAAAAAAGCTTCTTGATGTGCAGCCCTAATTACAGGTGTCTGGTTAGTAAAACAAGGCAACCAATTTCCACGTCACTGAATCTACCCTGCTGAAATGATGCCCAGGGTGCTACAACCTGAGCTCATGCCCCCATTGTTCCCTCAATCTGCTCAGAGGAGCAGACATGGAAAGCAGCAGTCCCATTCCTTCCCAGCCCCTGTCACAGCTCAGTACACACTGAAGCATCCTGAGGAAAAGTTCCAAAGAAGGAATTGGTTCTCCACACTGGGTTGCTACAGCAAAGGCCTGAGCAGTACTGTCTGGGAACTAAGTGGAAACTTAAGACAGATACGGAGAAACCTCAGAGTCCAGAGCTTTGATGAGAGTACGTGGCTTGTGTTGTCATGTATTTTGGTGCCTGTTTACATTAAGCATCCTCAATATGGCTGCAATCTTTCATGTGTACCAAGCTTAGCAGGAGGGCCAATTCAAATCATTGAAGGCATTGAAGGCAGGAGCTTGAGCTCCTCCTAGAATCAGGGATGAGGACAATTCAGAAATATCCATTGCTTATCCACTTCAGAGCAGAAACTTGGAGGGAGAGCACAGTGTTTCTGTGTACCACCAGAAGGCTGCTCCTAACACACTGCTTTGCCCTTCCAGATTGTGTGAAAAGCACCAGGCCTGCTAGCATCATGACATACCTTGATTAGCTGGCTTAGAGCTTAAGTATTTTAAGATCTCCTTGTTCAGAAACATAAGGCAGAGGCAGCAGCAGAGGGAAGTGGGCCCAGAGGGAAACAAACCCAGAAGTAAGCAAGCTAACAAGTATCCCTGTGCA